GGATGTCAGGCCGAGTCAGCCAGGGAAGTTGGGGAAGGAGAGGAACAAAGCTATTAGCTGGGGGAACAAGCCAGGTTCTGCCCTGACAGGATTAACCAAACAGCTGTCAATGCATGGAAATAGATGTGGGCGCTGTCATGAGCCATGTGACAAACCTGGGAATAACAATACTTCAATAAGTTTTGCTTGGCCTACATTCTTCCACCGCTTGCATTTCCATGCAAATTTTTGATGGATGTTTTTGTCATGTTTGTCCCCAAGGAGCTTGTATGCAGGTTCCTTTTGTCTTGGTGTGTGTCTGGTTTATCATGAGATCTGTCTTTACGCATCCTGGAGTGAGGTCTTGTAGCACACTAAATAAAGTTCATTTAAAAACATCTACTCATTAGCACCATGAAGATGTATTAGCAGCTTTTCTCGGTGCTATAATCAAATACCTAACAAGAGCCACCTCAGAAGGAAGGGTTCATTTTGGCTCACAGTGGGGGGGAGGGGCAGTCCATTGACCATGGTGGCACATTATATTGAGTCACATTGAGTCACATTATATTCACAGCCAGGAAGCAGAGAGCAACAATGTGAGTGCTAAGCCCCATTTTCGTTTTTATTTAGTGTAAGACTTTAGTGCATGGAATGGGAATGGTGCCTCCCACATTTCCAGTGGGTCTTCCCCCTCAACTCACCTGATGCAGAAGCTTGCTCACCCATATGCTTTAATGTTTGGGGAAAAGTCAACACCCGGAGTTGATGCTTAGATACAAGCGCTGCTTGACAGCAGAGAGGATGAGAACACCAGGCCTGTATGAAACAGCAGCGTGCCTTCAGCTTGGGGTAAGAAAGGGCATCTAAAGGACAAACTGCCCAGTGGCTGCTCTGCGAGCACAAAAGTTAGCTTGTCAACCGTGATCAAGTGAACTCAACACAAGATAGATTCTGGCAAGGAAATGAAATAGAGGAAAGAAGCAAACATCAACCATCAGAGTTGCCATCTGATTTTTAAAATATGTAGTCTCCCTAGTATTTTTTTCATTAGGGCAAATTAAATGTTCTCCTCCAACCCCCATCCTACCTCCAGAGTCTTAGGTGACTGGCTCTCCTGCAGGTGTAGTCTTTGGGGTTTCTGACTATGAGCAGGCTAAAGCCGGAATAGTGGAAGGCAGATCCCACACTGCAGAGTAAGACCAAAACCAAAACAAATAATACCCAAGATGCCTCTGGGCTCCACTAGTTCCTTCAATGCCTGAGGATTGTTTCTTGAGAGTCAGGCAAAGAAGGTATCCATTGTAGGTTTAGTTCATTAGGAATCAGGGCCATCCTAACAGCAGCTTTCCTGTAAGTAGGAGGCAAATATAGGAATGCAAGAGCAAGCCATCATCATTACTTTTCCAATTGCCACTCTTGCAAACTAGTAAAACTGTTCTATGGTGGCTCTTCACAGAGAACCTAAAGTGCAATTCTTGTACTAATACTTAAATTTGTATTTCCCATGTGATGCTGATGAAAGTTGGCATTATAGAAAGAATCGGGGAGAAGGAATAACCAGGAAGGACAAATAGGGGACAGCAGCACTTGACCTACAGTTGGAAAGACACATTGAAAGGAGAACCCACCCAAATGACAACTTCATGGACTAGGAGCCATAGCTTCGCCCCACCCACTGTGTTTACATATGCCATTGTTTCAGCCTGTGATGTTTTGTTTACTTCGGAAGGAAATATTTTACCCCCTCTGAGATAATTAATTTTTGTCAGCTTCACGGTTTATAAGGGAAACTGAGAAACTGTTAATTGAAATACAGAATGAGTCACTGTTTTCGGTAATTTTTGGCAGCATTCTAATTTGTGTCAATCCTAGCCTAATTATTAGATTTTGTTGGAGGCAGAAAGCATATTTGATTTTTTTTCTCTTACTGAACTCTTTTTTCTCCATTTTTTTTTCATTTGAAATATGTGCTCCCTGGCAAAGGTTATGTAATTTATGTCTGTGTGAGGGGAAATACAGATACATCTGAGACACCAAGAGGTTTACTGCATCATGCCTGGCTCTGCTCAGTAGCTCAGTATTTATACAGCCTGTAGATTCAGTCTTCCTGCCTCGCTCCTGCCTACCCCAAGCCCCTGTGAGAAAATGCGATACTTTAAAAGACCTCTTCATTGGTGAGAAGCTGCTGTCTATGGACCATCACTAATGGTATCACGGAAGTGAATTTCCCAGAAGCCATCAGGGAGAGTTCATTTGGAAATCCAATTGAATGTCACTAGCAAAGGGCAGGCACCTAGTAGAGGCGGCCAGTCATGCATCCCCGGTTGTTGGTTGTAAAAGCATTAATCACCATGAACTCATTTACTCCTAATGCAAACATACTGCATTATTCCACAAGAATTCCGTTCCCAATGATCATTAGTACAGACAACAGGGAGCTTCTGGTTGTGAGTGAGGTTAATAAAATCTGTCAGCTCAATGGCCAGCATAATGGACCTGTTAATGACTCCTAATAGAAGCTGGATCCTTCCTTCCCACTGCTGCAGAGCAAAGGCAGGAAGAGAGGCAGATGTCTTTGAGGGGCAGACAGCTCTGTCCCTTAGCTCCCCCATTGTGGCTTCTAGATAGAAGACAGCACTGAGATGGGTCACTAAGTATGATAAAGAATCAGAGTCTGCTGTGGCTGGGAGCTTTGGTACCTGTGTTAGGCAGGGGAGAGAGTCCCCGGGACAACCCAGATGGCTCTGCTCCCATCTGCTAGAATGCATGCTGCATTTGTTTGCAAAGCACAGGCCAGAAGCATCCATGCTATAAATAGCCCAGACCATTCTCTACCCTTCTCCACACATAACAAGGATGGGATTCACAATAATGATAGCCATAGCCATGGCAGATGGTCACTAGAGGTTTTCAAGGACCTAGGACTAAGTGATTTTCATGAGCTTATTTAAAGTGCTCATGTATTGTTCCCATTTGTGAGCAGGGTAGCCCAAGCCCAGAGGTCTTCAGCTACTGTCCCAAGCTGGCATTCGGAAGGTATGCCCACAAACGCCCTGTTTCCACATTTGAGGAACACACAAAAACAGCAAACTGCAGTACAACTCATAAAAAGGCACAGGGCATGAGAGAGAATCTGGAACTTTCTCCACTGTACCTCCATCTAGCCAGTCAGCACACGCAGGACCAGGTTCAAGCAACATGCAAAAAAGCGATGCTATCCTCCATGTCTTGTTACTACAACATAGGATCCCAGACCCTTAAGATGCTTGGCTGTTCAGTGTCACCCACTTGTGACCCTGGCTGGGACACTCCAGCCAATGATGCCCTCACCCCTATCTTAAACATTTGCTCCTTATTATCCCAGTCCTACTTATCACAAAACTGCTCTCCTGAAGCCCTGAAGCTCATCTTGATCTCCTGATTGGGCCCTAGCTGCAAGGGACAAGAGAAGTTCCCAACTCTTAGGGACTCCTCCTGAGCACAAGCCTTTTTTTTTTTCTCACAATTATTTTTATTCTAGTATCTAATTTCTAGTATCTAATGCACAAGGTAAATTCCTTTTTAATTCTTTGTAAGATTCTACAGTCTTAGAAGTGGAAGTGGTAATATCTCAGTAATCACTTTAACCATTTCTGGCTCAAGAACTCTTGCATATTGATTTGTACAAGTAAACTGTAAACAAACATTACACTACTTTGCATTAAGTTATATTACATTTGAGTGGAAAGTGTACTTATGTTTTATTTTATTTTATTATTTTTTTTTATTTTACATGTCGATCCCAGTTCCCTTTTCCTCTCTCCCTCTCTCCCTCCCTCCCTCCTTCCCTTCCTCTTACCTTTTCTCCCAAGTCTTATGGGATTGACAACCAGGAATGCCCTGAGCCAGAGACTGGAGTTTCAGCCACATAGGCTAGGTAGGAGCACACAGACCCTCCCAAGTCCTGAGGACTCTATGACAGGTTCTGCCAGGCAACCTGACTCAGCTTCAGGAGGGTTTGGATGCAAGGGGCAAAGAACTGTGTAAAGCAGTGTGCAGAGTGGCAGAGGGCTCTGTAATGCCTCCAGTAATGAAGGAAGCATTGTGTATAGACTCCCAGGGACCGAACCTAGAGCAGCTTCCAAAACTCATGAGGGAGCAGCCAGAGCAGTTTTTACCAACAACCTCATCCCTAAAGGTGCACTTCCCTGACCGTATTTTTTAATGGAGTTTTAAGTATTTGAAAGATGCCACAAAGCAGATGGTTATAAAGAGGGAAGATACGGGGAAGAAGATGGGCTTAGGAAGTTTCAGAAGGAGCCTTATACACATACTCCACAGCACAGCACATACCATCCCCAGCAGGGGTGAGCTCAGGGCTGGCTGCAGAGGGGAAACACAAGAATTTGGGAGGTGTTTTCTGCACCATACCCCATGCTTATGGACACACAACATCAGTATGAGACTACATGGTACCAGATATAAGAGCAGCAAACCAAGAGAAATTAGCGAGAGGGAAAAACTCACAGAGTGCGCCACAGAAGATTGCCTTAGTTGTCAGGAGTACACACACAGAGGGGAAAGACACAGCCCAATTATGGTGAGAATGATGAAGATTCTGGATTGAGAACAGCATGCAGAGTACAAAGGACCCTTAGGGACACTGCCCTGTCCAAGTGGGAAAAAAGGTATTTATGGGTATATACATAAGGGAAAGTGAGTGAGTGAGTGAGTGTGTGTGTGTGTGTGTGTGTGTGTGTGTGTGTGTGTGTGTGTGTGTGTGTATGTGTGTGTGTGTGTAGCAGCACACAAGGACAGAGAGGATGGTAGCACATGTCCAAGAGCCTGAAAACCTTCACCGAGGACCAACATAGCCGGTAACTGGAAGCCACAGAAGGTCCTTGAGCACCCAAGGAGAATGCCCTAAGTCAAGTGTTGCAAAGGTCAGCCTGGCAGTAGACTGGAAAGGGATAAGGGTTTATGAGCATTGTGAGAAGCTGGGGAGCCCTACCTTAGTTTGTCTTATTTTTTTTCTATAGCATACCTACATATTGCTCTTTGTGCTGGTGGAAGCCATCCTCAGACCACACAACTATCCATCGAAGAAGCTAGGGCTCGCCTTGTTGGGTGCTTGCAATCTTGCCTACATTACCAGGTAAGAATTGTACAGAAAGGGTTGACTGAAACTTGCCATTGGGAACCCAAATGACCATTCCATAAAAGTATACCATTAAATTAGTACCTTTGTTGGTTTACTTGGTGGTCTAACCTACCTTTAAATTTCCAGAAGCAAAGAGTTCTTACTGTTTGATTTTAATTCTCATGAAAAGCTCATATTCAGATATTCAGAGGATGAACACACACACACACACACACACACACACACACACACACAAAATCAGGAAAAGTAATTATTGCCAAGCAGACAATCATGTTTTTCTAAGAACACATTGATTTCAGTTTTATTTGCAGTTAGAATATTTGAATACATGAAGGTATATGAAGGGTCCAAGGCATCCATATGTACTCCATCTAAAAAGGTATTTATCAGGTGGAGCCAGACGCTACTGCCCAGTATCATCTTAGGCCTCAGGCATGAGCACCTAGAGGGCAGTTGCCAGAGACCTGAAGAACATGGGAAATGAATCAAGGAACTGGCCTTGTTTGATCATTTAATCACCTGATGAGCCTTACTCTTTGTAATGATGCCCAGTGGTCTGTTGTCAGTACATGCATATGTCCTTCTGTCTGCTACTTGAGGATACCCAGGTTCCTTCCACAGCTTCTTTTCTTTCTTTGCTTATTCTGAGGCAAGGTCTTATGTAGCTCATGGTGGCCTCTGTATGACTGAGAATGACCCCATGATCTTTACTTTTGGTCTTCTTGTCTCTACTCCCCCATGTGATGGAATTACAGAAGTATATCACTCACTGTCTTCCTTTGGGTTTCTATTGCTGTGAAGAGACACCATGACCACACAACCCCTATCAGTTAACCTTTAATTGGGGCTGGCGTCCAGGTTCAGAAATTTAGTCCATGGCAGGAATCATGGCAGCACACAGGTACACATGGTACTGGAGAAGGAGCTGAGAGTTCTACATCTGGTTAGTCAGGCATCAGGAAGAGAGGGACACTGGGGCCTGGCTTGAGCATCTAAAACCCCAAACCCCACCCCTAGTGACTTCCTTCAACAAGGCCATACCTACTCCAACAAGAACACATCTCCTAATAGTGCTACTCCTTAGGAGCCTATGGTGGCCATCCTCATTCAAAGTACCACAATTACCTTGCCATCAGGATCATCTCACAGTCTCTACATGGGAAGCCATTTAGTACAGTACTGTTAGTAATGAGAGCAAAGCACAGGATGGCATTTCAAAGGACATGAGGAGGCATGGTACTTGGAATGTGATTAACCCCCATAAGCTCACAGGGAGTGGTATTGCTGGGAGGTGCTTTGCTGGAGTAGGTGTGGCCTCATTGGAAGAAATGTGTCACTATGGAGGTGAGCTTTGAGATCTCATATATGCTCAAGCCATGCCCAGTACCTATGAAAGATGTAGAACTCTCGGCTCTTTCTCCAGCACCATGTCTGCCTGCATGCCACCATATTTTGCCACAATGATAATAACCTAAATCTCTGAAACTGTAATCCACCCAATTAAATGTTTTCCTTCATAAGAGTTGGCCTCTTCACGGTGATAGAAACCCTAAGACAGGAGATGACATGCCAGGCCCCTGAGCAGCACAGAAGTCACCAGTTTGTTATCCAGAACTGCACAACCTTTCTTTCCTTCCCATAATCTTCTTATATCTCCCACCCTTCCTCACCACCACCCACCCTGAGAGCTAAGAGCTTTCTTGCTTTTCTCTTGAAGAAAGTTCTTGCATAATATTATTTCTCTGAGAATTACGTGCTCTGTGCTGTTCTCTGTGCTTTGAGGTCTTTGAAGTTTAACGAAGGGACACTCTAAGAAAACAAAGCTCCACCTGGGGACCACTTGTAGTTGACACCAGGATCATTGTGCTAAGAAGGATGCTGAAGCCATATTGTATGATTTAGACACTGAGGACACGGGGTGGTCCAAGAAGCCTGTAGCTCTTAGAGACTGTCTGCAAATGAGAAGGGACACAGGACAAGGAAGACATAGTGATAAAACTGGGTGGTGGGGAGACCAGGGTGAGGTGGCTGATGGTCAGGGCTGGCTTCTAAAGGGAAGAATCATTTCAGCTGAGATCTAGAGGAAGAATAGGAACTCAGAAGACGCATGAGAAAACAGTAGTCAGGCCGAAGGAACACCGCTATGAAATGCCAAAGGAGGCAGGCACACAGCTGACTGGTAGACAGAGAAAAGTTAAGCCATGAATACATCTCAGGGACCTTGAATTTGCAAACAGAGTGCCTTTCTGGTTTCAAAACAGCATCACAGACTCTTCTGGTAAGTTCTGTGAGTACAAAGGTAGGTAAGGTGGCCATGGCTGAACTGTGGAAAGGGGACTAAGGAAGACGAGAGGTAGAAACTCAGGAGCGTCAATGTCAGTCAAATGCTCACAAACCATAACCAATTCGAGCATGAAGGGAGGATGGTAACTTAGTTATCAGCGGCCTCTGAACACTAGGATTCCAGTGGCTTGGTGGCTTGGATGGCACGCGCTCAAGGTCATGAGGTCATAAGGCAGAGGGATCTGGTGGAGGGAAGGAACAAGTACAAGCATAAAACCTTCAGGAAGATTTGAAAGTGTTTGGAGTAAGGTGAGCTTTATGCCCATCTACTCAACCAGCCTCCTCACGGTGGTTTTATACACACCTGGAGCTGAGCAGGCTCTTGGCCATATGTACACTGTGGAGAAAGAATTAGGTTTGCGAACAAGAGACCCGGTTTAAGGTGGCTTTAGACCCAGCTTTGTACCACAATAAATGGAATACAGGTATACCTGAGGGCATTTTGTTGTTGTTGTTGTTGTTGTTGTCGTTGTCCCAGCAGAAACACTTCCATAGTTCAGTTCAGTCCCCATTCAGAGGACATGAGACTCTTTGATGCCTGCTAGTCCTGCCCCATTAAACAAAATGTACCTTCAGACCCTCATGAGCACACATGGCCGTCTTAAGTCATGGTGGTAGACACCCATGGAGAAGTGCTATTGGTCAGCTCATTGGGTGTGACAATTGAGATGATCAAATGGGGAGACAGCTTTGCAAGACTGCATCCTGAACATGGGTGGGCCACAGGGACCATGACAAACAAACCTGAGTCTGCAAGGAGCTGCCAACTGCACCAGAGACATCATTCTGATAAAAACCACAGTACAATGGCCTAAAAATAGCCCTGTAGATCCCCTGGGGACTGCCTCCCCTGCGCTGTTCACTTTCTGTTGCTTTTCAGGTTGCAAAATTGGAGCTTTGGCCCTGCTGAGGAGTAATGACTAAAAATGTTTCATTTCCTTTGGAAAGCTTTAGTCACCTATAAACCGGCTGTCTTGCTTAAGCCTCCCTGCTCTCTCAGCCCCAACACACCCCGCCTCACTCTTTCTGAGGCAGTGGCGATGGGTGGAGAAAAGAATGTTCCTGCTGCTGTCCTTATTCCCTTTCTAAAAGGGGGTTTGAACACATATTCCCCTAATACAGAGCTGGTCGTGCTAGGAAAGGCGAGGTCACATAAGGCCAGGCTCCAGCCTGCAGGGGCCTGATAGTTAATAAGTGGAAATGAGCCATGCATGCAAACTAGAGCAGCCTGCGCTGGAAAGTGGTAAAATGTAATGAAAGCACAAGGAATAGCAAGAACACAGGGAAGGAAGGGAGGCCGTGGTGGGAAGGCATCATGGAAGGCATGCAGGGTTAGGACTGCAGCAAGCTGTTCACACTGCAAGACAGTCAGCAGGGGGTGAATGATAAATGCTTGTGAGCCAGCTGAATCTCTCCTTTCTGTACAGTCCAGGGTCCCGAACTAGTGAATAGTACCACTGACTTTTAGGGCAGGCCTCCCCACCTCAGGCAACCTAGTCAGGATAATCCCTCATAGCTGTGCCCCAAAGGTTACCAAATCAGAATAATCCATCACGTTTCCTGGGGCTTGTCTCCTGGATGACTCCAGGTCCTGTAAGATTAGCAGTCAACATTACCACACTCCTCAAGAATAACAAGATTTAAGCCCATTCCTCACTTATGCTCACAACTATGAACTGTATTCCAAGAATATATTACAAGTTGCTAAGAGCCGAACCAAGCTGAATTCAGATCAGTTGCCCATACCCTCACTTACATTCTCTCCTTTTCCAATTATTGCATCATGGTGAAATCTTTTCTTTTCTTCTTTCTTTTTTCTTTATTTGTTTATTATTTTACATGTTGATCCCAGTTGTGGTGAAATCTTTTCAAGAGCCACTGTTTGCTATTTCTGAAATGCAACCTTCATCTAGAACCATCACAGTCAAACATGATTTTATAGTGCTTACCTAAATTGTTCTAGTATTAAGAAAAACTCAGGAGTCAGAAATTGAGTTTGAAAACCTAGTAAGTCCAGGAAATAGTGGAAGGAACATAGGCTGACTGTACTATCCATGTTTCCCTACATATCCAAAAAGCCCCTCAGCCCACCCTCTCTTCCTGTCCCTCTCTATATAACTTCCTCAGTCCTCCAGCATCTCTATGGCTAATCCCAATCAGCCAGTTGTTGACTCCATCCTTAATTCAAGGTGTCTTTATTGGCACAGAGGATTGACAGTGTGAAAAATTTTCCCACAACATGATTTTTAAACTCTAATCTTTGCTGGGTGGTAATGGTACATGTGTTAGTCCCACACTCGGGAGGCTGAGGCAGGGGGATCTCTGTGAGTTCGAGACCAGCCTAGTCTACAAGAGCTAGTTCCAGGCCACCCTCCAAAGCCACAGAGAAACCCTGTCACAAAAACAAAAACAACAACAACAAAAACCAACCAAGCAACCAACCAACCAAACAAACAAAAGAACCCAAAACAAACTAAAATCTTAGCAAGGGTTAGAATACAAGACCCATTTTCCACAGTGATACTCAACCAGTCATCCTACTGTTGTACAAAAATAACTTTCATGATATCACACAACTCCTATTACCAGCATTTAGGGGTGGGCCTCTAGGGTACAAATTAAAAACTATCTACAATGCTTATAACAGAAACTAGAAATAACAACAGCATACAGAATGCATCAGATTCTTTTGAAATGAAGAACTTACCAGAAATACATTGTTGAAGGAGTAGAACAGTTTTATGAATCGATTGGAATGTAATGGGTGACTGTAAAGGACACATTAAGGATAATTTTAAGAATTTTCAGATAGTGATCAGGAAAGACCATGATTTCAGTAATAGAGATGAGGATGAATTGTGAAAGAGTTTGGAATATAGTTTTTTTTTTTTAAAGCCAGTTGAAAATCTCATATTTGGGACAGTTTGTGATGTTGTGCTAGCATGCCTTTAAGCCCAGCACTCAGGAGGCAGAGGGAGGCCATCTCTTGAATTCAAGACCAGCCTAGTCTACAAAGTGAGTTCCATGATGGACAGGTCTATACAGAGAGACCCTGTCTCCAACCCCTCTCCCCCACCAAAAAAAAAAAAACCTAATGCTGGTTCTATTTGTTTAGGTTACATGCTGGGCAGTAGGAAATTAATGCCCCACCCCACCCCACAGTAGCTTCTCTTCTCTACAGCCAAGACTCACCCACCAAGAGGAAACTCATCAAATGCTTTCTAAAGGGAGATGGGTGCAGGGGAATACCCATAGTTGACCCCTTGGGTGAGATGAGATTTCTGGAGTCACAGGGAAAAATAAGGAGAAGAATCCAGGAGCAAGTTATGGGGGAAATGCTCTTGTCTTTGGGATCAGATGGGGCAGGAGGGCAGCTGAGGTAATGACAGTTGAGATCAGGCAGACAAGAGTCCCCATGGACTTTAACAAGGAGGAACCCTCACACCCAAAGGTGTATCAGGATGGTGTGGGTGAGTTTCAAAGTTCAGCCCATGCAGGAGATAGAGGTGAGATGCAGACAAGGTGTACTGTCATCAACATACCTCCCCTCTCTCCCCTCCTACTCCGTTCTCTTCTCTCAGTCAAGCAAGCCACACAGAAATAAATGATGCCAACTGCTGCAGTGACTCTCCTTACTCACCCCCTGCTGAGTGCCCTTTAACAACTTCTGAAAGCTTACCCCCTGTCTCCACCCAGCTTTCTTCTACTTTTCCTACTGTCACCTAACAGCTATCACTTCTCTGGCATGTTCTCTGTGAAAATGCACACTTGGTTTACTATCCCTGGGATCTTTTCTTCTTAAGCCTTATGCTGTCAGGAAACAAAAGTGAACAGAAACTTTCCAAGTCCCTAGGGGAATGTCCTTGTTTGTGGACTACGTTACATAAAAGGGCATGGGAGTTAGGAAGCCCTAATTTCATGTATTTAAAGTAAACCATGTGAACGGGTTAATACAATCAGAGTATGCTCAGGGATCCATTCCTATCTGCTTGGGACATTTGTTTACTGCCCCTAGTTCCTACTCTGGTCTGTTCTAAGAAACAATTATGCAGGCGAGAAACACCGTGAGAAGCTTTCTGCAATGATTTCTGCCATGCACGCCTTCATTCTAGCAGTTATTATACAGAATGATATTATTTCATTATAATCATTACATTATCAATGTATCCAGGGAGCATCTGGATGATTTGGGAGAATAAAGATCCCAGCAGGACTCCAAAACTGATGCTATCTTAGGATTTCTGTTGCTTTAATAAACACCATGGTCAAAGCTAGGGTGAGGAAAGGGTTTGCTTCAGCCTACAACTCCCAGGTCACACTCAGTCACTGAGGGAAGTCATTGCAGGAAGTCAAGCAGGGCAGGAACCTGGTGGTGGGAAGTGAAGCAGAAGCTGTGGGGGATGCTGCTGAATTGCTCGCCATGGTTTTCTCTGCCTGTTTCTTATAGAACCTAGGACCACCTACATCACTCACAACAAGCTAGGCTTGACCACATCAATCAAGCAAGAAATGTACCACAGGCTTGCCTATAGATCAATTTAGTGGGGGATTGTCTGTATTGAGGTTCCCTCTTCAAAATGATTCTAGCCTGTGTCAAGTTTAAATGAAACTAGCTAGCAGAGTGCCCTAAATTGATTTTAACTGTAACAAAGGGAACATAGCATAAAATTATCCATTTTACCCATTTGAAGTGTGTTCTTCCGTTAAGTACACTCACATTATATAGCTAATACCAGCATCCCCTATTCAGAATTCTGAACCCACTAAACAACACCTCCCCATCCTTTTTTTTGCCCACCCCTCACACTTACCGTCAACCTTTTTTGTCTCTATGCATCTATGCCTCCTCCTACAAATGGAATCACATGTGTTCTTTCTCACCATAGCTCCTTCAAGGTTCACACCTATGTTGTAACCTACATTCAAATGTTTTTCTTTTTAATGTCATGTTTTACTCCTCCCGGCTGTTACTCCTCCATTCACCCATCAATGGCCTCCCGGGCTGTTTCCGCCTTTGGGCTGTAGACTGTAGTATACAGATATCTTTGGGTCTCTGATTTCAAGTATACTACTGAGTGGTAATGAGTAGATAAGGCAGATGAAAAGCTGTCTTAACACTCTGAAGAACCTCCTTACAGTTTCCCTAGCTGATGGAATAGAAAGAGTCCAATTTCTCCATATCCTCACATAAACCACATATGTTCTTGTGGTTTAATTTGTTGGGGGTTTGTTTTATTAGTAGCCATTCTGTGTAAAGATGTGAAGGCTCGTGGCTTTGAACTGCTTTCTCCAGATGTTAGTGGACATCAGACAACTTCCTTATTTACATTCTTTGTGGAATGTCTATCCAAATCACCTGTCTGTTTCTAATTGGATTGTTTTTGGAATTAGGAAAATTATTTATATATCCTACATGTTAGACTATTAATATATATATGATTTGCTCATATCTTTCTGTATTGCATAGACAGCCCTTCTAGACTAATGACTGTTTTTGACTAAATCTCAATCATTCGATTTTTACCAATAAAGAGTCAGGAGTCAGATGCTGGGGTGAAAACCTGCTAGCTCAGAGAGGCAGAGAAAGCAGCCAGCTGAACCTTCCTCCTCCCCTGACCTCACAGAAAGAGCTTTCTCCTCCACCAGCTCAAACAAAATTCTCATACTGAATGTCCATTCCTTCTATTTCCTGTGTGTCTCTCTGCCCATCCTCCTGACTCCCTCTTACTCTCTAAGGTTTCTTCCTTCCTGATTGCTTGTTCCTCCTCTTGACCTGTGGTTGACTTTATTTCATCCTGCTCACAATATTCAAGCAGAGAGCTCTTGAATTAAAGGTGTGTGTGAGGGCTGAGGCACACCACAACTAGGAACAGGTTTTTCCAGTAAAAAACACAATGTCAGGGTTCACAGTGTGATCAAATATCCTGCAGCAGTTGACAGTATCCTTTGATTCACAAAGATGACCCTATAAATTCCACACTCCAGATCTGCTCTGCCCTACCCTAGTCCTGGCCCCAAATATTAGCCCTTGTCCACAAAGCACATACTAAACTTAAAGTATTTGAAACGACAGAGATTACATTCAGGTTCTTGAAAGCTTAATTAAGCAATTAAGCACAAAGCTTCATTTTTCTGAAATCCTCTGGTAGACAGCCATGTTGGAATTCCATTTCCAAGGCCTGGCCTATCTTCACTCTTACAAGAGAACAGCCATTGTACTGTCCGTGGCTGCTTAGAAACTCCTGTCAAACTCCCACAAGGCAGGTACTATCTTATGTATTACAGATGATATACATGGGTCGTAAACACATGTTTCATTCAGGTCATACTTGCAGCATCCTGATGAGGTGTGTGCTATCTGGATCTCCGGTCTACACCAGCTTAGTTAATAAATTGCTGGAGATAATGTAGCTAATAGGTGGCAGACTGAATATTTAAGTCACAGAATCCTCTTCCAGATTCTATACACCTAATAATTGTAAGCTGCAGCTGAGGCAACATCATCCCTTAACACATATTTTGTGTTTTAAGTTATTTTAGACTTTGGCATCTTCAGTACAGTTGGCTTCCAGAATTTTTAGTCTTCACTGAGACATCATGGCTTCTCTCCCAGAATTTCTTTTCTTCCCTTTGGCTCATAGAAACAACTTATATTCTATCCCCATATGAGTAAAATCTGAGCCTCCCTACCAACTCATCCATCCCTACCTAGTGCTAGATCCCTAAGGAGCCCTGTGAGCTAAAGTCAGGGATAACATAATCTCCAGGCATCCTGCTTTGAAGCAATGATATACCATCTCTACCCCGCCCGGGTCAACAAGACTTGGAGAGCTAAGAGAAGCTGCACTGTCCTCTTAGGTACCAAAATCAACAGCAGCATACAACACTCTTTCAGCTGCAGGCAACAAAATTGAAACCATCTTCACAGGTCTAATTCTCAGCTATCCATCTCAAAGAAAGCAAATGAAATCATGTGCTCACATACCCTCCTTTGCTAATGATGTGTTATATGCCTCTATCCTTTCACCGAGATGAATCACAAAGTATAGATAAGGAAAAGACTGACTCATTCCATGAAAAAGATGTTTAATTAAAACAAGTAACGACAATAAGAAATGACCGACTACCTTCTGTAGATCTTCAGGAATACTTCAGGTGTTGACAAATATTCCCCAGGCTGGTTTTCACCTGCTGTCTTCTAGTGTCCCACTGAACCTGAGATGCAAATACTTGCTGGTCTCTGTGATCCTGATCATTTGGAATTCTTTTTCATGCAGGATCCTGTGGCGCTACTCTCAGACCGGAAACTGGGTGTACCCTGTGTTTGCCTCCCTCAACCCACTGGGTATTGTCATCTTCTTCTCGGTCAGTTATTTCCTGAGTGCCAGCACCTACCTGCTTGGAGAGAAGATCAATCACTGGAAATGGGGTCAGTGTTTCCCTCTCATCCACAGTTCACAGAGACATTTCTCTCTTATCTATGCTCTACTCTCCACCCAAACCAAAGGAAAACTTAGTCCAAATCAGAAGACCACACTGCTAGGAGCCTTTGCTCATAAAATTCAAGTGGGTCCTATGAAAGCTAGCAGAAGAAAAGCCTAGTGCAAGTTGGCTTTCCCTTGGAGAAATCCAAGTGTCTTCTTCCATCAAGTCTCACTTAACTCAAAGACCAAATCTTCTTTTGAAACTTTAGAACCCAAAGAACAAGGTGTTACCACCCCAACCATGAAGGGGGAAATCCTGTAAGGGTCTTAGTTCACCCCAGTGAGGGCTTGAAGGACATGAACTCTTAAAATGAGAGTTCCTTTTGTTCTAGAAAAGTGTGACTGTCACTCTAAACTGCAGAAGATAGCTTATAGCTTATTGTGAGCCAAATATGAGCGAGCATGGCCCAGTAAACATGGATTCAGGTTGCCCTGAATGACATACTCTTTCTGAAGAAGGCACATGAACTCACATAGTTCCAGAACAAAGAACAATCACAAATCAATGCATTAAACCACACATTGATGGGGACAGCAGGTAGGTGGGCCCATGGATTACACCAAAATGGGGAAAACTTTTTTTTTTAATGTGACAGTCAAAAGAGATGGTGGACCAGATGCAGAGATAGGCAACAAATAGCTATTAAAGGGAGTAAGATACCTTAGGATAATTTTGGTACAACACACCTGGAATTTTGGGGGTGATATTTTATGCTTTAATTCTACAAGGAGACATGTAGGAATTCACCTCGGTTTGTGTATAACAAAGTGAAAAGGTCCCCTGTAATCACCACCCTCAACCATTCAGCTACCAGCCCTTCTGGTCCATCCAACAGAAATGGCCTCCCCCACCCATTGAGTTTGTGGGGAGCAGAAGTTTGCGGATGCAAAGAGCAGGCATTTCCCAAGGGGCTAGAGTGAGCCACTATTGCTCCCAGGCTGAGACCACAGAGAAGAAGATGCTCAACTTGGATCTGTCACATTTGCTTCTCTTGGAAGATTTAGTTTGTGGTTTTTAAAATAATTTACTTATTTTACATTAAGACAGAAGTTTCCCCTTCTTCCTCTCCTCCCATTCCCTCTTTCACCTCATTTTTGCCCCAACTCAATCCACTCCTCCATTTCTGTCAGAAAGGGACTAAAGGGAATGTTTTCTACGAAAGTAAACATTTAAAATGAGATGCTACAAACAAGCAAACAAATGCAAAAGTAAAAACAAACTCCTAAAACCAGTATTTCAAACCCCGAATTCCAGTTTGCAAGGAAATCACTGGGGGGAGGGGGGGCGGATTGGGATTTCAAATGTACAGGCATCTAATTCTAGGAAGTTGTTGGTACTTGAATTTCTGGGTACAGATTTCTAATGACTTTCAAAGAGCTGTAATTGTAAAAAAGAAAACAGGAGGGAGGAAATGTGGGAAGTAGGGGAGAGAAGTAATCCATTTGGAATCGGATGGTTAGAAATGCAGATTTAAAATGTCTAATTACTTAGAGATTATCAACAACAGTAGGTTTTTTAAAATCAGTTGTATTGAGTTTGAAGATGATTAATGCTTTAAATTGTTTTCTTATAAAAGTGAATGTTAAACACCTTAAAACATAAACCATCTCCCCATATTCTAGGGACTCCCACACCCTCTGGCCTCTGAGAGCATTTGTACACACAAGTTGCACATAAAGTCACGCAGACATACATGCACATACATAAAAATAACAAATACATTTTTGTTATTGTTGGCTTGTTTTGTTTTGTTTTGTTTGTTTTTGAGATAGGGTTTCTCTGGAGTTTTGGAGCCTGTCCTAGAACTAGCTCTTGTAGACCAGGCTGGTCTCGAATTCACAAAAATCAGCCTGCCTCTGCCTCCCAAGGGCTGGGATAACACATATACTTTTAATAAAATAAAATCTCACTGTATTTAGTAGCCTTTAAATCCCCATAACAGCAAGCTCCTGATAGGCCCCACTGCTGAGCATTGTGTCCAATTCTTCTTAGAGCAAGCATCAACATGCAGGCTCTCACTTGCCAAAAACAGGCACGTGATGCACAAGATGGAGATCAGTACAGACGATGATGTATGTGCCTCTCCTCTAGCTCTGCATTCATAAGAAAAACGAAAATGAAAACCAGGTGAAAAGTCTCGTATTGCCTCCGAATAGAATAAGAGTTACACCCTTTCTATCATTCACTGCAAAGAGCCGAATGATAAGGGAGAAAACGAAGTGAGGGTGGGCCATGGTTGACGCACACCCATAAGGCCCCTGCCTGAGAGGCTAAGGTGGGAAGCTCAATCATAAGCTCAAGGGCCAGCCCGAGCTACTGTCTCAAAGTGGGGGAAGTATTAGAAGAGAAACTAGATCTGTCAAAATTTCATTGGCAGTTAATGCTGACTAAAATGAAACAGAATGAGCCTGTGAGCCTACACCCTTCCTCTCTGCTAACATGAGTTTAGTCCTCCCCTGGTTAAAGAAGAAAGCCCCAGTCCTCAAAACATACTGCATGACTCGGTTCCTGTCTTGGTGTTGTGTCTCCTCTTCTAGGGTTCGTCCCTCCCCACCCCCTCCACTGGGGTATTGCTCTGGCCCTCCTGGGTGTATGCCCCCACCCTATCCCCAGACTTTGCCTGTCTCACATTTTCTCATTTATTTCAACTTGCCTGCTCTAGGATGCCTGCCTGCCTTGATCTGCCCAGGTTGCACTCAATGCCCTTTCCAAGTGTCCCATGGCTCTTTTAAACACCAGACCTATCATTTTAGCATCACTGCTCTTGTTATAGCTTCAGAGCTTTGTCTTTGCAGGAGGCCTTGAGCTTCTTGAGGGTTAAGATGCCTTAGCCATTTTTTAATCTCTTTTTCTGCTAGCTTTCCCAATGACTCAATCAGAACAGAAAGTTCAAAGGAAGCCAGGGAGCTTTTCTCTCTACTCTCCACGTAGGAAGAGAGAATTCCTACAAAGGTTTTCTGGAAATAGCAGTCAAGAGGGAAGCTGGAGTGGTCATAGATTCGGGCATTAGGTCTAGGCAGGTGGAGATGTGATGTACCCACTGAAGAGCTGTTGAAGAAAGAGGTGCATGTCAAAGCAGGAAAATACAGCAGCCGAGACCACTGAAATTAACCATCTGCATTGTGCTTCTCCAAGGCAGTCCACTGAAACCGGAAAATGGTCTTCACGTCTTCAATACAACATCTCAGATGAATGAGGTTATAGATATACAACTGTCAATATTCAGGGACCCATTTAAAAAAAAAAGTTTTCTGTTCTGACTACTGGCATCATAAAGTTATGCATGAAGGATGGGAAAAAAAAAAAAGGATAGAGAAGTCAGGGTGGCTCTAACTCTCTGGCTGCCATCTAGCAGGCTTTCCACAGTGAAACATTCCCTTCCATCAAAAAGTACTCTAGTAAACAACATTATTTCCCACTCAGAGTTTGAAATCCACTTTGTAAATGTCATTTATATAAGATAGATGGTCTATTAATAAGTTGGCAGTTTCCATGCAATACAAGAAACATGGGCAGAGATCAATTTTGAAGACACAAGGGAGCCTGGAAATTGCTCGGCTCTGAGAGAATGCAAAACCGAATCCCCAGTCTTACCTCTGTATACTAGAAACAAAAAGGAAAACACTAATTGTGAGGAATTCGAAGCATGTAATTCCCTACAGAATAAAGTGACTCTGACCTCCACACATAGAATTGTGTGGGGAAGGTGCCTTCTCCATGTTGGTGAGTGTATTAGTCAGCTTTTCATTGCTGTGATAAAACACCTAAGACAGTTAATGTTAAAAAAGCAGAAAGTTCTATTGATTTGGCTTCAGGTAAAGGTAGCATCTAGGTTTCAGATCATAGACAGTGTTTTGTTTTGTTTTTTCTTTTTTAAGATCAAGCAAGTTAATACATCTCACACTATAAAGAGAGTAATTGATAGGTAAAAAACAAGGCAACTACCAGTCCCATGAGGATTTCTCCACAATCCCAATAACCTAAAGATCCCTCACTATATTCCACCTCCCAAAAGTTCCATAACCTCCCAACAGGACCACCCTGGAGGCAAGACTTTTAATCATAGTGGATGCTTAGAGCTAACTCAACTCACACCCATGCCATTGGAGTAGGTGTGTGGACATTTCCTAGCATTCCACCTAACTATTTGAATTTGGATGGAGGAAACTCTGATGTAGAGGGAGGATACAGTCTCTTCTCGCAACAGAACTTATACCATCATTTCTGCTTCTCTCTGCATCTTTGTACTCTGTACTGGGCCAGAGGAGAGAGGTTATGATTATAGTCAGATGCAAGAGGTGAGGCTTGGAAAACGCATGGGCAGAAAGAAGGTTAGGAGCTCTGAGAGCAAGTGCAGAGTAAACATATTTGAGAAATGCATATTGATCAAGCCTTTGAATGTGAAGGAAGCAACGTGCTATTTAGTCGACAGATGATAATTAAAGGGCTAAAGTATACCCTGTAACAAAGAGAAGGAGCTGTGATTGAACTTAGAGCATAGAGAAGACTTACTGGGAGAGGTGGGGTGGTTTACACCTTTAATCCTAACAGTGGGGCATAAATAGGCAGGTTTCTGTAAATTCAAGGCCAACCAGGTCTACAGGGTGATTCTAGACCAGCCAAGGCTACATTGTGAGACCCTATCTCAGAGGGGGGCGGGGGTGGGGGGAGAAAAGAAAGAGAAAAAGAACCTGAGAAGACTCACCGGGAGTTGGAGTGACTCAGAAATGAAAAAGGATAGAAGAATTAATGAATGTAATATGATGCCTGCAGGCCTCAGTAGATACTAAAACTTAGCTCAAGTGATTGCAGCAATCTGAGCTGACCAGAGGGCTGAATGCAACGATGGTCATGAGGAATTTGGGATCAGCAGATGGTATTTTTAAGGAAATCAAGGTGACTGAAAGGACTTCAAGATACCAATCACTTCACTGGAAAGATGGCTCAGTAGTTAAGAACAATAACTGAACTTCTAAAGGACCCAGGTTCAATTCCCAGCACTCTCTTCTGGCTTCTGAGGACACTGTACACACTTGGTACACATACATGCATTCAGGTAAACACATAAAATAGTAAATAATATAAAAAAAGACTCCTAAAACAAAAGGTTACACATCCTCTAAAGACTAAAGGAGATGGAAGATTTGTAACATATACTGTTTTTCATGTATTTGTTTGGTGCTACTCTTATCAGTGCTGGAATGGAACCCAGGGATTTTCACACCCTATCTCTGAACTATATTCCTAGCTACACCGTGTATTTTTTTTGAGCAAAGAAGTGTTGGAGGTGGCAGTCTGAAGCATGCATACAGCCTAGGAATTTTTTGTGTGTTTGTTTGCTTTGGCATTGCCATACAATATACTATGTGCCATTGTGGCATTTTCGTGTATTTGTGTTGTCCATCCCCGTCCCACTTCTTTCCCACCCATCTGTCACCCTAGCTGTGTCTTCCCATGTCACATGTGTTCTCCTACCCTCTTCCATTTCTTAAAAACTGCCACTGTCCCTCTCTTGATCCCTTTTCTGATTCCGAGAGCTATACCTTCACTCAATGACCCACATATACACACAAGTGAAAATTAGAAGCTGGGGTCTACATAGGAGAACTCCTGTTTGTCTTTCTGAGTGTGAGTCACTCAACAGAATAATTTCCAGATCCTATTTCCTGGCAAATTTTCATTTTTTTTTTCAGCTGAATCAGATTCCATAGTGTATGTGTGCTACATGTTTCTTATCCATTTTCTGTGGGTGACCGTCTAAGTGCCCCTGCTTTCTAGCTTGTGTTTAGAACAGCAATCAACATGGATGAACAAATATGTCTGTGGTAGAATACAGTCTTTTTGTGTATGCCCAGAAGTGGTAGAGCTGTGACATATGGTAATTATTGATGGGAGATGTCATTCTGTAAGTATGTTTCTCTTATTGGTTAATGAATAAAGCACTTTTGGCAAATAGGAAGGCAAAATAGGCAGGACTAGGAGACAAGGAGGATTCTGGGAGATGTAGGAGGAGAGTCAAGATGTAGAGACTTGAGAGGAAGAGAACTGGACCCTCTCTCCGGTAGATAAGACCACATGGAAATACTTAGATTAATAGAAATGGATTAATATTTAAGACAGAGCTAGCCAATAAGAAACACTAGTAACAGGCCAACAGCTTTATATCTAATACAGTGTCTCTGTGTGTTATTTGTGGGTGATACGGCTCTGGGACCAGGCTGGCAGGAAAACTGCCCGTAACAAGTTATATTTTTAGAATTGTTTTGTTGTTGAGAAACCTCCGAACTGACTTCATCTTGGTGACACTAGTTCATACTTCCATTAGAAATGAGCAAGGGCCCCTCTTTCTACACTTCATCAAACAGAATTTTCTGCCATTTGTTTCCTTGGTGATAGCCATGTCAACTGGGGTGAAATGGAATTTTATTTTGCCTTTCCTTGATCCTTGATGGCTAAGGATGTTGAGCATTTAAATACATATATTTATATTGTTTCTTCTTTTGAACTGGGTTAGGATTAGTACTTGTGGAGTGATAACTTTGTTTTGGCGGGAGTTTAATTTTCTGAGTTCTTTATGTATTCTAGATGCTACCTCACAACTGAAGCATGACAGGCCATGTTTCTCTCCTGTTCTGTAGGCTGTCTGTTCACTCTCTTGCTCTCTGCTGCTGTGCAGCTTTCAGCCTGGGATCTGGAGTGTGAAACCACTGCCAGAGCGAAAATGCTGCAGCAGTACTAGACCAGAGAGACCACAGCTCTGATTCCCACAAAGAGGAAGAGACTGAGCTGAGAAAAAACAATTCAAAGTGGAACTAATAGTATTTGGAGATAGACAGGATATATAACAAGCTATGGAGAGATTATCAATTTCAATGCCTGTGCCAACATTAGTGATCATGAAATTTAAGATAACAACTTGACTGAATGGAACATTCTAGAAATATCGCACATGGTTTCCACAGAAGAATGCCCATATACTGTGCTTATGCCAAACAAATCCTGTGTCAGTCATGATATAAATTGGGTTAGGAGAAGCCATGGAGTACCCCAATTCGGTGGACTTCCACTCTTCTAGTTTGTCTCAACTTCATGCAGTCTCTTTGTCTCTGTCTTCAAAGCCTTTGCATGTTCCTATGGACATGCACAGTACACAGTGCTCACACAAAACATTGTCTCTGCATGTTCCTATGGACATGTGCAGTACACAACACTCACACAAAACACCAACAATTGGAAGCTATATGATAGATAATGCTGTGCAGACCAATAGCATCACTGAGTATCTGGCTAACCTCACGTTGAACCCCAGATTGCTTCTTGTCCTTGTGGCAATAGTGACTGTTTATCAGAGTTCTCTCCTTTTTTTATTTTTTTTATTTTATTTATTTTATATAACAAAGTCCAATTAAATGAAAACAAACATTTATACACAATATTTGGGAATTTGGACGTCGTTCTTTCCAAACTACTTCCTGCTGGTAAGGGGCGCTGTCTTGGGGGATTCGAAAAAGATTCAGATATCCTGGCTGTAGTCTGTAGGGCTGTTTTGTCCAGCTGTCTTGAATGTGGGATCAGCTTGTACTCTGTTTCAGGCGGTCTGGTGTGATCAAACCACATTAGTCTGGAAGGAATCCACATCTTTTCATTTTCTGTGGAAACAAAAATAGAAATCCTTTCCCCAGTAACTTGTCCTTCAACTTAAATTTTGGAGTCAAAGCATTTTTTTTAATTTGATTTATTATTTTACATGTCGATCCCAGTTCCCTCTCCCTCCCTCCCTGCCTCCCTCCCTCCTTCCTTTCCTCCCTCCTTCTCTCCCTCCTTCCCTCCCTTTTACCCTCTCTGCCCTCTCACATGTACTCTAACCACCCTCCCTTCCCATCCCCCCACCCCAATCAGAGTTCTCTCCTTAAGAAAAAGTGTTTTTGACTTCCCACTGCTCCATCAGGGTGAATCTCCACCCACTCAAGAATATCCATTAGGGAGTCCTGTCTGAGGTATCTCTGTATCTCTTTATGCAGGTGTCACAGTGAAGCCATGGATGAAGAAGAAGTGACTGCACACTGTTTTCTAAGGGCTGTGGAAGAAGAACATTCTCATTATTATTATTCATTTTGGGATCAGTGGTGGAATAGCGTGGGGAGATACAAAGATCAGAGAATGACGCGTAAGTTTAATAAAGGGTATGAAGGGAGCTCTGTTTGAGATACCTTGGTTTTCTGAAAAGTTGACAGACCAATCCAATTCCTGATGTCTCGGAGTCTATTGCTTTTGTCTGACCTCCATGGAGAATTGTTTCTGGCTAAGAAGCCTGTGTAAACTTGCCGGTGGACTATTTAGAGGAGGGGTGTGAGGGAGAGGAACTTAGAGTCATCCAATCGCTTTACCTTCAAGGGGGATAGAGAGGACCCAGGTGACAAGTTGTTACATCAAACACAAAACATTGTCACAGGGGAGAAACAGGGCACACAGGTGCACTTGAATTCAAGGCTGCCCTGGGCTTCTGAGTGCAGTTTAAAAGGAAATGGCCCCCAAAGGAAGTATACTACTAGAAGGTGTAGTCTTGATGGAGTAGATGTGGTCTTGTTAGAGGAAGTCTGTGACTGTGGAGGCGGGCTTTGAGGTCTCATATATGTAAGACTCTCAACCCCAGCACCCACCATGTCTGCCTGCATGCAACCATGTTACACCATGATGGCAATGGACTAAACCTCTGAAATGTAAGCCACCCCAATTAAATGCTTTTCCTTTGTGAGAGTTGTCTCTTTATAGCAATAGAAACCCTAAGACGTCTCTTGTCTGTAAAAGCCCAAAAGGATTTTCAAGAAAGAAAACAAAAGAAAGACAAGACTGTCATAATGAAGGCAATGGCTTCGTCGCCTAGATCCCCCAATACCCAGGCTGGGCCATTTTTCAATAACCCCAATTTCTCTAAAACCTGGGTATTTTAAAAGCTAATTGTTTTCAGTGATTTCTGGCCTTGGTTAAGAAGTGTAAGAACATAAAAGCTACTGAAGGTGTCTAGGTGTGAGAATAATTTATAATAAATGGTGAGAACTCTGCCCCTCTTCAGAGCACACATTTGGGGTAGGAATTAACACAGAATGTAAGGAGCTGTCAAATGGCTTTTCCATTTGGACATTGATTTGAATGGAGGCATAGGTAAGTTGTGGTGAAATCAATGTGTATAACACATGCACAGAATTATCTATCTGGAAAGAAGGGTAAATATGAATGGCTGCAACTGCACCCATACAAACTATGGGCTGATCAAGTGACTCCCAAGGGCTTATGAACCCTCTAATTTTCCAGGTGAGTTTTAGGTCCATTTTTCTCATTGCTGAATACTCATTGTACATAGAACTGGGTCTTGTGAAAATAATTCCTTTTAAGAGTAAGCCATGGCCGGGCTGTGGTGGCAGAGCACACCTTTAATCCCAGCACTCAGGAGGCAGAGGAAGGTGGATCTCTGTGAGTTTGAGGCTAGCCTGATCTACAGAATGAGTTCCAGGACATTCAGGGCTACACAGAGTAACCCTGTCTCAAAAAAAAACAAACAAACAAAAAAAAAAAAACAAGCAAACAAAAGAAAGAGGCCATCATGCGTTTTAAGCATATTCCCCTCCCAAGAATCTCTCCTCTTGCCCAACTCCTGTTCCTTCCCCCAGACTCCTTTCTCATTTCGTGCCCCCAACACACACATATGCATAATTCCATTTATCTATATATAATTTAGGATCCGTCTTTCTGTATTTCGTTTATTTCTTTAATTTCATGATCTTCACATACATCCATTTTCCAACAAAGGACATAATTTCATTCTTCATGAGTGAAATAAACTGCATTTATATAAAGTTGTTTCATGTTGCTTGGTTTCTGTGTTAGGGTGTGCACATCTGGGATTAAGGCCCTCGGCTGGATTTGGCCTTAGTCATCCACACTCTTTAAGGAGACATACTTGTTATGCTCAGGCAGGACTAGGTTCTGCTTGTTTGTCAGTGCTGTTCTTTCCCACTGTTCTTAGTAGTTAGGCCATCATCCCTGTGCTTGGGGCATTAGGTTCTGTCCCTGGCTGTGCTGGTTGACTTTTTCAACTTTTTTTTTTTTTTCCCCAACACAAACCTATATATATCTGTGAAGAGGGAATCTTAACTGAGAAAATGTTTCCATAAGATAGACCTGTAGGCATTTTCTTAATTAGGGATGATGTGGGAGGGCATAATCCAATGTGAGTGGTGCCCCCCCCCATGGGTAGGTTGTCTAAGAAAGCAGGTTGAGCAAGCCATGGAGAACAAACCAATAAACAGCACGCCTCCATGGCCTTTGCTTGAGTTCCTGCCTCGAGGTTCCTGCCCTGACTTCCCTCAGTAATGGACTGTTACCTAGAAGTGTAAGTAAAATAGCCCTTTCCTCCCCACATTGCTTTTGGTCATGGTGTTTTATCACAGCAATAGAAATCCCAACTAAGACACCAGTAGAAGGTTACCATATTTAGAAGTAGCCACAACTGATAGGCAGTACCATATGAAAATACATCAATAACCAGTCAAGAAAATGTGTCAAGCCTGCCTCTGAAATCCCTCAGGAGGGCAGGGAGTGGATGCTAAGCCTGCCTCTGTGTTGTCTCCTGTGGGTATGTGGATGCTATACTAGCCCTTTTGTGAGTGGGCTGAGGGTATAGGCTTGTCTCTATAGACCATTCCAGACTATGGCCAAGAAAAGATTTCTGCCTTGAGCAGTCTTCTGTGTAGGTACCCCGAAGGCCAGGTCATAGTAGATCTGTGACACTTGCTCAGGGTTTCCCAGAGTGAGTCATGCAGGAAGGGACTTTTGCCTCTAAAGCTGCCCAGTAACTCTTTAAAATGGCTTTTTGCCTTAGCTCCTGTTTGGTATCAAAAGACAGTTTTGTTAGCAACTGTCTCCCCTTTGCAGGAGTAGCTACTGCACCTCCCCCCATGATCTTTACATTATGTTGTAGATTGTGTGTGTGTGTGTGTGTGTGTTTATGTGTGTGTGTGTCTAAGTGAAGTGCCAACAGAGGGAGACCCTGAAGAGGACATGAACTTTACTGGAGCTGGAGTTGCAGGTAGTTATGAGCCACCTAATTTGGGTACTGCAAACTGAACCCGCGTCCTCTTCGAGGGAGTACATGTCCTTAACCACTGAGCCATCTCTTGGATGTCCTCTTTGTTTTCAGCCAGGACCGTCACCACCCTGTGTGTTGCCTGCACACCCTGTGTGAGAGCCCTCCTGCACAGGAGCTGAACTCTCTCCTTCCACTCCGTCTTCCAATGTTTTCCTTCTTTCAGCATTGCTGAAATTCGTTCGAGTCTTTCCTGCCAGTACCCATCTCATCCCTCGCTTGCTGTCACCACTATGCCCCATTTAACTGCTGAAGTTTCTAGCTATGGGTATCATCTGCCACTGTCCTACCAGGGTCACTTCCTCAGAACACAATGACCAGTGTCTGGTGATGGGAAAGGACCATTGAGTCGTCTAGGCTCGTGTGGGCTGGGATGTGGACACTATGATGGAGTGAGCCCCATGGCGGAGTGTACCTTGGCCTCCCAACCTAATGTTATATAGGAGAGGGCACCAAAAAAAGATCCTTAAGGAGTTATAAACGCATAGAAGAGTGAAATAGTCTGATATCTTGGGCACACATCCCAAGGAAAGACTACCAGACTAGGGCAAGTAAGTACCAAGAGTCCTGCTTATTTTGTTTCATTTTTTTTTCTAACTGCAGTGGGAATATGAGCCTGCAGATAGATCCCCCACCCCCACCCTGTTGAATCGGGAGCCCCACCTCCTGCTCACACCTCCTACTCACACCTGCTTCTGCTCGTAACTGCCTGCAGCACCTGGTCTCAGCAGAGGCCCAGGAGCAGTTGTCAGGGTGGAAACTCTCCGAATGTGAAGCTGACAGGGGATCACCCCAATTTTCCACACCCTGAAGATGACCTGTGCTACATTCTTCTCACTGGCATAGTACACTCCTGTCCCAGATGAGCCCACTTCTATTTGTGGCTTTACTATCCTGACACTAAATTAAACCTTGATGTCAGCATGGCTGGCCACTGGGCAATTCTGATCTGTCCCACTGGGCACATGCATAATAAGCAGACAGGTGCTTTTGGGGGTAGGTGTAGTTAAATTAGAAGCAGCAAGACACAACGAATGCTGATTGCACATTCATGAAAACATATAGCATTTGCTGCCTGCATAAGGTTGTGTTAGGGGGCCTTCGTGGTAAGAATATGATGGTAACAGGAGCCAAATGATGATGCCAGCAGTCATATTTGAATAGTGTAATTCCTAATCACTCCCATTTGAGCCTCACAATAGTAGCATTGGGTCCCCATTTTACACTGAGTTAGACCGACCTTCTGATAGCAATGTGCTGGTAAATGTTTAATGACCACCAACAAATTAAGCTCCTGATTCACACTGTTGGCTCCTTTCCATGGTGTAAACACTCCCCACCCCCAACCCCTAGTAATCGTCTTTTTTAAGCTATCAAGATACTACTAGGATTGTCGAGAGATGTGCCCAACCTTTTGGTCCCAGAGAGCCTGTTTCCAGCAGACTTCTGGATTCAGAGGGGGTTGGGTGGGAGGGCGGGGTTGATGACAGGTCCAAGTTCGCATTGATTCCTTCCCTTTTTATTGCAGAGCAAATGACAATGCGCAAAAAAAACAAACAAACAAAAAACAAACAAACAAACAAACAAAAAACACTGACCCTGTCTTGCAATGGAATACAGGATAAAGTGCTTAAGTGGCCCGGAGTAGTTGTAGCCCCTTATCCAGGCTGGGGAAGAAGTAACGCCTCTCATCCCCATACCCAAGCTATGTCACCACGTCACTCTCACAAGTGGAACCAGTTTTGAGTAAATGCTTCCCCTGCAGTCTAAAGCAAGACGTTCACCTCTTCTTCCAACAAAACGGTCATACACTGCACCACGAGCTCTTTGAGGCAACTCTGCACCTACTCCCCTGAAGTATTTGTCATAACAGGAAGCCAGTTTCATATACAGTAATCCTCAGACACCTTGGGGCACACGTGGGGATCATGAGTGCGCTGAGGGAGAAGTGGGGGTGAGGTCGCTGCCCCCTCCTCCCCCAGGTCCTGAGACCTGAGCTTTGGTCTCATTTCAGGATCTACCAACCTCCTTCTCAGGCGCCGAGACTCAGA